AACCTAGCAACAAAACACAACTAACTTAGCAGCATCAGACAACTAACCTAGCAACAAAACACAACTAACCTAGCAGCAAGAAAGAACAACTAAACTAGCAACAAAGACAACTAACCTAACAACTAACCTAGCAACAAAACACAACTAACCTAGCAGCAAGAAAGAACAACTAAACTAGCAACAAAGACAACTAACCTAGCAACAAAACACAACTAACCTAGCAGCAAGAAAGAAATAACCTAGCAACAAAAGACAACTAACCTAGCAGCGAGAAAGAAATAACCTAGCAACAAAAGACAACTAACCTAGCAGCAAGAAAGAACTAACCTAGCAACAAAAGACAACTAACCTAGCAGCAAGAAAAAAATAACCTAGCAACAAAACTCAACTAACATAGCAGCTACAAATAACTAACCTAGCAACAACAAACAACTAACCTAGCAACAAGACACAACTAACCTAACAAGAAAGAAATAACATAACAAAAGACAAATGGTCAACGGTCAACGTCAGAAGTCAACGCCGGAGTCAACGATCAACGCCGGAAGTCAACAGTCAACGACGGAAGTCAACAATTTTCACCGGAAGTCAACGCCGAAAGTCAATGGTCAACGCCGAAGTCAACGGTCAATGGTCATAATAATATTTAAATAATTAAAAATAAAGAATTAAATAATAAAAATAAAAAATTATTATTTAAATCAAGATCTAAATCTTGTGGCTAGGAATGAGTCTCACGTCCTCATTTTAAATAATGGGATGCATTGGAACCAATCCCTATATATATATATATATATATTTGTATTTACTATAAAAAGTAATAGTTTCCCGCCAAAAAATTATTAGTTGCTTAATAAGATTTCTTTTATGTTCTTTTTTTTTTTCTATTTTCTTTGGTAATTATTTTTTTTTTATCATCTATGGTGATACTTTTATTTTATTTCTAGGTAATCTATTTTATTTTATTTTTAGTTACGTGATATCAATAATTTGATATTAGTGATCATTTATATGGCATTATTATTTATAAAGTAATAATAAGCTTATTATATAATATTGCATGTGTAAAGTGAAATGAAATTTATTATGTAATACTGATTTAAAAATAAAAATTAGTCTAAAGTTATCCATACAATTAAATTTAAATACATGTATACTAAAATATATTTAGTATAAAATAATATGAAATAGTAATTGATATGTTTATCCCTCTTGATTTAAAAAATTAATACTTTAAAAAATAATTATTTCGAGTATCAGGTATATACGATTTTGAAACGACATTGGATCATTTGTTAAACTATTATGTAAATTATTAGACTATAAGAATTTAAAATTTTTATAATATATATTATCATAAATTATGACAATCCAATGAGTCATCTGTCAAACTGCCATAGAAATTATAAGTTCAGAAAGAAAAACTAAAAGGTTTATTATATATATTGTTATAAACTATGATAACAGACAAATTGATCATCTATCAAACTATGCATGAAAATTATTAATTTAGAAATATAAAAATTAAATATTTATGAGCATATAGTTATAAATTATAATAATAAACAAACTACTCATCTATCGAACAACAATGTACAGTTTTTGCTTAGAAAAAAATGAAAGTATATATATATATATATAATGTATATTATAATAAATTATAATGATAAATGAATTAGTGTCTAACTATCATATGAATTGGTGTCAAACTATAATTGTTATAAATTATAATGATAAATCAATAAGTCATATGTCGTATTGTTAGTTTAGGAAAACAAATCAAAATATTTATAATTTATATTGTTATAAACTATAATGATAAATTAATTGGTGTCACATAAATTATTAGATTATGAAGGAAATTCAAAATATTTATAATATACCTATATTATACATTATAAAAGCAATAACATAATTGTGATGTATAATATATATTATAACTTTAAAATAATATACACGCATTCTTTTAAATTAAGTGTTGGTTTGTAATACTTGTCACCATTTTTTAAATTTGCCATCACTATTTAGGAACCAAACTAATATATTGTGATAAGGTATAAATAAGAGAGAGAGTGAGTGAGTGAGAGAGAGATAGAGAGAGAGAGAGAGGTATTTTTGTGAATATTATTTATTCATAATATTTGAATATGTTGAACTTTCATGTTTCTTAATTCTAAACAGAAATTTCAAAATGACAATTTTTTTTATAATGGATGAAATAAACATATAAATTATATAGTAAATTATTATTTATCTCTAAAATAAATTAAAAAATAAAAATTAATATTAATATTTAAAATTAATTTTATACTCATCCATATTTTTTGTTATTTTAATTTATACAATTTATTATTATCTTCCCATTCATCGCACGAGTTACATATTAATTTGGACAAATGTATTTGATTGTATAAATTTTGGAATTCATTTTATATGTCAACATGGCTTCGTATTTATTACATGTAATATTTGAAAAAAGGAGTTTTTTTTCAATACAATGCAGGAAAAATAGGTTAACTATCAAATCGGGGCCCAAAAGAATTTTTTTCTCAATTCGGGACCTAAATGTTATAAGACTATCAAATTAAGTCATAGAATTAACAAAACTCATAACACCATTAAATTGAGAGTTAATTTGAAGTTTTAAAATACCAAATATGTTACAAAGTAAAAAAGGAAAGAAAAAAAAGAAAAACAAAAATGAAGAAAATTAAGGAAAATACGAGATTGTTGGAGAAAATTAAGGAAAGTATGAAGCTCTTGCTCGGTTTTCTTGCTATCGTCTATTTATGTTTTTTTTTTGAAATATTATGCGAATGTTTACTTATTATTTAATGTGAGTAAGCACCATTTTTTTTAAACTTTCAATTTAATGGTGTTATGAGTTTTGTAAATTCTAGGACTTAATTTGATAGTTTTATCCTTTTTTTTTTAAAAAAAAAAGTTGGTGTCCAAATAAAAAATCCAAAGAAAAAATAACCCAAAATTTATAATAAGGTATTTTGTAAAATAATTGGTTATTAGTTTCCCAAATTTTTAACTACTACAATAAACTTTAGCCATTCGTTTGCTAATGATCGGATCAAGTCTTGCCATTTTACATAAGGATTAAAAGTTAGCTTGTAAGTTAATTATAATTGATTACCAATTGATCAAATGGGATGGCTACTTACTTGCATTTGCTTCCGTTTGTCAAAAGTCCTGTCCAGGGTGATATTTCAACATCGTATATATAATGGTGTTGAGTTATCCATATCCTAAGTCCATATAGCTTACATCTAGTATATTTTTTTGCTTTTTTCCGAAATGATAGAGATATGTATTACTAAAACTCAAGCGAGAATCAAGTTCGATTACAACAAGCTACACAACTCCGGAAAGACCAAACTGAGAGGCACACCTAAAGTGGCCTAGAACCTCAACGCAAGAAATCTAGAAAGTAGTGCAACAGAAATTTAACATCCGATCACTGCTACAAAACCTAGCAAGGTACTAAATATCAACAAGGAAAAACACTAACTAAATGAACAAGTTTGAAAGGAACTAAACTACAATAACAAGAGATACACTAAGCCTGATACATCTAAAGGATAATTATGAAACATGAGAGAAGTCCAACCAGTCATTCTGAGCTGCTTTGATCAGCCTGTGTACATGGATTAAGGATTTTTTAAAAATCCAGAGATTCTTTGACTTCCAGAGCCACTAAAGTCGATAAGTGGAATTCTTGCTTCAGCTACCTCTAAATTATCAAGTGAACATACTTGTTGCCACCGACCTTTGAAAGAGTCTGTTATGCTTGTAGTGTTGTCCAAGTGTACAGGGGATAAACCCCAAAGCCTACTTGCTCTTGGGCAGGAAAACTACAAATGCTCTATAGTCTCAGGGGATCCTGTGACGCCCTGTTATTTTTAGAGGAAAAATTCCGAGTTTTCAAAAATCGACGTTATTTTTTTTTTTTTTTTCAAAAATCATTTTTTGTTTTGAAAACAATTTAACGGGCGCTACTCAACGCAATCAATCATATACTCGGCTTAGCATCATTGTAAGCCTTTGAGATTTCATTGCCCAACATCAATATCCATAACTCCACTCACGAGATATAGTGTACATCAACATATAATCAAACATAATTATCAAACATCTACTAGTTTCTGTTGGAATATCACTTGTGAGTTGTCTCACATTGATTTTATAGGAAAAATGAGCCTAGTATATAAGCCTAGTGGGCTACTCCTCCCATCACCAATTGGTTTTGGGATGGAACCTCACTATGGTGCATCTAGGCTCACCCTCTTATGGTGGGCTTCACATGGTGAGACCGCACTCTATTCCCCCGCATCATCATCCAAAACACCAGTTCAAACACCAATCAATTTATGAAAACAAGTTTAAGCGGAAGCAATAATCATAGTTCATAATAATCAAATAAAATGACCCCACTTGTTTCGTCCTTTGCCTCGCCACCAGCTGAACCTGAAAAAGAGATGAATAATGGGGGTGAGCAAACAACAAGCTCATCGTGGGAATTACTGTGCGATCTATTCAGCATAATAATAGATAGTAGAATGGCAACATGGACATGAATCTATAAAAAATATCACAAGTCATATAATGCTAAAGTGTACACTTATATAGCCGCTGAAGGTCGAACCCGCATCCAACAATGCGAGCACATGACAATGATCGAAACCGCATCCAAAGACATGGCCTCTCATTAGGCTATAACAGAGACTCCCTCTCATTAGGCACCATCGACGGTCGAATCCGTATCCGTCGACGGGGATACCGTATCGAAGGTCGAAGCCGCATCCAACGACAGTGTCATGGTTCACATGCATACATTGATTATAAAATCTAGCGACTATAAAGAATAAATGCACAGTAAAGTTTATCAACACCCAACTGGTCTGGATGATGCTGAAAAAAATTATAGATTCTGCACAATTTGCTCAAGGTCAACTCCTAGAAACCACTCCTCAAATCTGCAAGCACAAAGACGTTGGAATTGGATTGCGGCTGAAAGCTCTCAGACGCTGACCTTACTCGCCTCGGTTGTACGCACAAGAACACCGTTGATACTCGGCTGCGGCTATTCGTTCTTCGTCGGGCTGTTCACGCTCATGGGCTGCACGAGGGAGGTCGTTGGAAATTTGTACGAGAGGGAGAGGAGGATCTCCCAACATTGGCCTCACTGCTCAGACATGAACAGAGTTGCTATTAATTGTTTATTTCAGTCGAGAAGGGCTCGACCTCGCTGCTCAGGCGCAAAAAGTGGTTGTTGCTACTTGATGGTAATCAGAACCCGCTCGGGTTATTCTTGGAAAGGACGAGAACAAATGTTGCTCCCCTAAATAGGTCACCGACAAAAGGGTTGCGCCTGCTCGCTTGACGACACGACGATGGCTGAGGGTGAACATCCGCGAAAGTTGCGTGGTGTCGTCCTTGGGGGGCTGAACAGAAACGGACAGGGCTTCGCTTGTTCGACGTAACGATCGACGAACAACAAACGAGCGGCTGTTCGGGGTTGCAGCGGTTCGCTAGTGAGAAGAGAGGCTCGCGACAGGCGGCCGACTTGGCCTGATGTCCACGGGAGGGAAACGGCGCCTCCGGCGGTCCTTGGCCGTCCTCTATGCGGGCTGAACTCGAAAAATGCCGCTCATCGATGGTCTTGGCCGTTAGCTGCGAATCGCAGCGGAGAGGTAGTTGTGATGGAACGAACTGCACGGTGGGGTTGCTCGACTGTTGCTCGCGATGGCCGCTGCGAGACGCCGATGGTGCTGAAATCTGAAGGAGAGGAGGAAGAGAGGCATTTTCTTTGAAACATTGATATTGAGAGTTTTTCGTGAGGGAGAGAAATTCCCTTCTTCTACCCAGCTAAAATCGATAAAGAAAGGGTAAAAGGGCCTAGAACTTTTCCAACTGGGAGAGGAGTTTCAGATCCGATCTCTAAGGAAGAAGATGAGGGGCGCTGAGGCTTGCATGGATTTTAAAAGGAGGAATAATTAGGGCTATTTGGAAGGGTCACTTGGACTAAACAAATGGGGTTGGACTTGATTTTGGGCCGAAAATTTCAGCATAAATGGCCAATTTTCCTTGGGCCAAAATTTGGATTTTGAGGTAAACATTGGAGCCAAAAGCTCAAGCAATGGGGCCAGTTAACAAACTCATTAGGGCCGAATTTGTAAGTCAAGATGGCTGAAAATATTAAGTCCGACAAGGCAAGGGTCTAGCTAAATAGAAGGTTTCACGAGACAATTGCAATTGAAAACGAAACGAATGGATTTTTCGCTTAGTGAAATAAAATTCGGAATAATCTAAGTAGATGGGGACATCAACGAAAATTATTTAACTTATTAGATTAATAGACGGGGACATCTAACTAATCTTATTGAAATAAAATGGCAGATTAGCCTATCTAATCTATACAGTTAAGGGCAAGAAAAGCGATGCACATAAATGAAATAAAAGAAAGCAATAAAAATAAAATAAATGCAAGCAATTAATAAAATAAAATACGATAAATCACGAGAAGAAAACGTAGCATTACAATCTACCCTCCTTAAAATATTTATGTCCTCAGAAATACAAAGTATAGGTAATCACCAAAAGGGATAACAAATACGAGAGAGAAGTTTTAAACCACACAGTTCGGATATTTCGTCCGAACCTCGTCCTCGCTCTCCCAACTCGCATCGCCCTCGCCCTAACGGCTCCGCTGGACTTTAACGAGTACCCCTCCCGGTCCTCCAACTGGTGGACCCTCTTATCCAACAGGCCACCGGTACCTCAACACAGGTAGGGTTCTGCCTGACATGCAGCTCGTCAAAGTTTACCACGTGCCCCGGGATCATGCATATAACTTCTCCACTCGAGGTGTACATATCTCCTCTACGCGAGGCATAAGACGTGCCGTGTACTCTCGAAAGCCTATGTGGTAAGGCCAACTGTTAGGCTAGGTCATTGACTCGGTTGAGAGCTCAACAGGACTAACAACAAGCGATTATGGCTTCCTTCTCTTCTCAAAAGTAAGGTGTGCTATACTTTCCTTTGTACACGACCTCGTACGATGCCATTGGGATCGTCGCCTAATACCTATTGTTGTAGGCGAACACACTCATGGTAGAGAATCCTCAGTCGCGACACATCTATCAACACACAAGACTCTAACCAGTCTTTTAGTGTATTGACAACATGCTCCAACTGCTCAACCATCTGGGGTCGATACGTAGTACCAAGCTTCAGTTTCGTGCCCGGGTCGCACTGAACACTCGTCTACGACCTTGACATGTACCGCCATCTCCGCTGAACGCGGTCGACATGGCACCCCATACAGTCGGACTATTACCACTACACTCTTCTACACCACTGTTTCGACACCTCTGAAACACATAGTCTCTGCTCTTAAAGCTCCCAAAAGAATTCTTTGCTAGCGATGGGCCCAATATATGGCGATTTTTCTTGCGCGAAAGCAGAAATCCGATGTCATTAAAATCAAAATGATGACTGAAAGTTCGATGTCACTGCAGAATCTTCTATCTTGACAACTCGAGAAACTTCCGCATATGGCATAGGAACTATCATTCAAAAATTCGGTATTGACCTTCTTCCGCAGTGTTCGTCTGACGACTAGTGATGCCCAACATCACTAGTTCTAGATGACGGCCCTACTACTTCGATCCCTAACTGAATAACCCTCCAGTCAGCAGTCCCTGCTGAAATAATCCAACAGACTAGCTCATCTTGACTCTTCCGACTACAAGTGTAAGCCACCACGTTAGCTTTCTCAGAATAGTAGATAGCAGTGCAGTCAGTCCTAAGTGAGCAAGAATTACCTTTGATAATGACCGGCTAGCCTCAGGAATTACGAGCATCACTAGCGTCCCTTGGAACTTTCTAGTTATCTACCGCCTCTAACTTACTACGATATACTTCAATTCCCTTGGCTGCAACAATGCGATTGAAAAAAAGAAAACTCCATAACTATTCCTAAAAGCTCGATATACTGCTCGGTTCGATTTTTCTTTTGTGGGGAGACCTAGGTCGTTGCAACATGCGAAGATGTCAAGGACGGTACGCATTACACGCAGATGACTTGACAATTATGGTACGACCTACGGACTTGATATGCGGCAACATAGCATGCTGCGTGCGACACACTGCGCATGACACATCTGTGACCTGATGGGGCCCCATCAGTCGCAACACGCCTGTGCACGGTACCAACACGCAGTACGTCTGCATCACCCGCAGTCAGTAACTAAATTTTGTTACACATCAATTGTTACGTCTCCTTGTGTTGTTTGCGTGGCCAAAGACCGGCAACCCTCGATGTATGGCGACCCGAGTCTAAATCTTCTGGAGACCAAGTACAATCAATTTCCGAAGAGTACTTATTCTTCACCTTGAATCGGTTGGGTTCACGTATGCTTCGTCATCTTTTCCGAGGTATCCTTCTCCTTCGCGAAAGGCTGATGCTCTCGATGTTGAGTTGATTCTGGATTCATCTTGTTTGTCTAGTGGTCTTACTTCTGGCTCCTTCAAAAAGATCAAGTTGCACGCCCTCCGGTGATGGCTTCTTCGTTTAATTCCCGACGATAAAATCTTCAAAAACTTCGGCTACCCTTCTTTTGCAGAATTTACATAGTCCTTGGCATAGCTCCCGTCTTGGTTCTAGTTGTTACGTTTTGATTCTTGGAGACAACAGAATTTAAAATTTACATCCTTTGCAAGGAAATAAAGACAAGCGAAAAATCCAAAATGCTCAATCTTATTCGTAAACAAAGTCTCCAAAACAGAGTAAATATTGAAACATAAAATAAAAACCAGTTGCAAAAGTTCAGAAAAAACAAAAATCAATGAAATAGAAAGACACTATTCCTCTCTCAAGGTACTCAATCCGCTGCTCCCTCCTGGTTCAGTTCAGCTTCGTTTTGGGATAGCATGTACACGCGTGCTGCCCCCTTCTATGCCTCGGTTGATCCTGCTGATGCTAATGTTGTGGCTGGCTCTAGTTCTATCTCTTTGGTTCTGGGCACATGTACGCATAATGTCCCATCTGGTGGCAGTTATGGCAAGTTCGTTGAACGACACAACAATCTCCTACTACATGGTAACCCCCGCATGCACCACGCCTCTGTCCTCGATCATCCTGACCAGGTGGGCGATCGTCTTGTCTGCTAGATTCTCCACGTTTCTCCTTTCGCTGGTCACAGTGGTGATCGGCCTTTCGCTTGCCTGAGCTAGAAGTGGGCTGAACAACAGTGATGGCCTGAGCAATGGTAATGTGTTGGACGACTAGAATGGTTGTATTAAAAGCCTGACAACTCTCCAACTGCTGTGCTCGAATCACCCTCTCGGCATAGGGCAGGTCTTCATGGATCGTCAGCAAAAGCCAGATGTCCGGGCGAAGCCCATCCGGGAACCTGGTGGCCTTCTTCCTCTCTTCGTGTCCACCAAGTGAAGTGCAAAGACACTCGTACGAGCAAAGTCATGCTCGTACTCCTCTACAGTTCGGGTCCCTTGGCTTAGGTCCCAAAACTCTCTCTCCATCCTAGCACGGTAGCTCTGTGGGAAGTACTTCTCTAGAATAATCTCCTTCATATGGTCCCATGTCAAATTCGCACGCTCAATCTGCCGCAATCTCCAGTTGTCGGACCACCAAGGGGTAGCATCTCTGTCCAGTTGGAATTGGGCACGGGCAATACGCTGGGCGTCGGTACAGAAAAGCACGTCGTAGATCTGTTCAAGCTTAAGGATCCACTCAGCTACGGCAGTAGGTCCGTCAACTCCGATAAAAGCCGACGGATGCAATTTATGAAACTGAATGACCACTTGAGTGTGGTCCCAACCCGGCGAGGGTGGAGCTTGCTAAGCGTTTGGTTTAACCACTCGGCAAAGTGGCATCTCTATAAACGAGGTTAAATAGAATAACTCACTAACTTAAGTTCAAAATAATCCAAAGAGGGTAAATTCCTAAGCCCCAATATTACCTTTAAGCAAGTAATAACAGAACTTACACATTTTCATACCTTTGAGCTGGCCCGGCATGACGAAGACGAGGGGTCATTAACATAAACACTTAGACAAATTATCAAAAGCAGTCTACAAAAATGTAAACCTGTCTGATACCATACTGTGACGCCCCATAATTTTTAGAAGAAGAATTCTGAGTTTCAAAAATCGACGTTAATTTTTTCTCTTCGAAAATCATTTTTTGCTTTGAAAACAAGTTATCTGGCGGTACAAAACACAATCAATCATATTAGCATCATTGTAAGCCTTTGGGATCCCATTGCTCAACATCAATATCCATAACTCCTCTCACGAGATATAATTCACATCAATATATAACTCACATAATCATCAAACATCCAATAGCTTCAAACCAATATCAAATCCAATCATCATCTAAAACATCAGTTCAAAAACCAATCATGTTTTGAAAACAAGTTTAAGCGGAAGAAAAATTCATAGTTCATAATAATCAAATAAAATGACCCCACTTGTTTCGTCCTTAGCCTAGCCACCAGCTCAACCTGAAAAAGAGATGAATAATGGGTATGAGCAAACAACAACTCACTGTGGGAATTACCGTGCAATCTATTCAATATAATAACAGATAGTAGAATCACTGCATGGACATGAATAAATAACAAATATCACATCTCATATAATGCTCAAGTGTGCACTTATATAATCGCTGAAGGTCGAATCCGCATCCAACAACGGGAGCACATATTAATGGTCAAAACCGCATCGAAAGACATGGCCTCTCATTACGCTATAAAGGAGACTGCCTCTCATTAGGCACCGTTGACAGTCGAACTTGAATCCGCCGACGTGGATACCGTATCGGAGGTCGAAATCGCATCCAACGATAGGGCCATAGTTCACATGCATACAATGATTATAAAATATAGCGATTATAAGGAATAACTGCACAGTAAAGTATATCAACACCCACCTTGTCCGGATGATCCTGAAAAAAATTGTAGATTCTGCACAAGTCGCTCGAGGTCAACTCCTCGAAATCACTCTACAAATCTACAAGCACGGAGACATTGGAATAGGATTGTGGCACAAAGCTCTCGGACGCTAACTTCACTCGCTTCGGTTGTACGCACAAGAACACCGCTGCTACTCGACCGCGGCTATTCGTTCTTCGTCGGGCTGTTCACACTCACAGGCTGCACGAGAGAGGTCTACAGAAATTTGTACGAAATGGAGAAGAGGATCTCCCAGCATCGCCCTTACTTCTCAGACATGAACAGAGTTGCTACTGCTTGTTTATTTCAGTCGAGAAAGGCTCGACCTCGTTGCTCAGGCGCAAAAAGGGGCTGTTGCTACTTGAATGTAATCGAAACGCGCTCAGGTTCTTCCCGAAAAGGACAAAAACAGACGCTGCTCGCTTGAACAGGTCACTGACAAAAGGGCGGCAAGACGGTGGCTGAGGGAGACATCTGCGGCGGTTGCGTGGTGTCATCCTTGGCGAGGCCGCTCTCGACGGTCGGAGTACGCTGCTGCTTCAGTGCACGCTCACGGGGCTGAATGGAAACGGACAGGGCTTCGCTGGTTCAACGAAACAATCGGCGAACGACAAATGAACGGCTGTTTGGGGTTGCCGCAGTACCCAACGAGAAGAGAGGCTTGCGACAGGCGGCTGGCTTGGCCTGATGTCCTCATTGATGGAAAGAAAACGGCGTCTCCGACGGTCCTTGGCCGTCCTCTATGCAGATCGAACTCGAAAAAGGCCACTTGTTGATGGTCCTGGCTGTTGACTGCAAATCGCGGCGCGATTGCGATGGAACGGACTGCACGATGGGGTTCCTCTGCTACTCGCGATGGCCGCTGCAAGACATCGACGGTGGCTAAAATCCAAAGAAGAGGAGGGAGAGAGGCGAGTTTTTTGAAACGTTGATATTGAGGGTATTTCGTGAGGGAGAGAAATTCCCTTCTTCTGCCCAGGCAAAACAAAAAAAAGAGAGAGAGAGAGAGAGAGAGAGAAAGTGCCTAGAACTTTTCCAACTGGGAGACGAGTTTCAGATCCGATCTCGTGAGGAAGAAGATAAGAGCCGCTGAGGCTTGCATCGATTTTAAAAGGAGGAAAAATTAGGTCTATTTGGAAGTGTCACTTGGACTAATCAAATGGTCTTGTTGGAACTGCATTCAGGGATGTCAAGCTGCAAAAGCTTCTGATTTGAGAGATGTTTATAAGTACTAGAGACAGTAAATTGGCCCTTCCCGTTCAAGACCCCAATACATTCAATCAACTTTATCAGGTTTAAGTGTGGTGATGCTGAGAATGGCTTGGCTATCTGACTCATTAAAAACCTGCTTGATGAGCCATTCATTCCACCCCCTACCATTTGCCATAATCAGTTCTTCAACCCAGAGCAAGTAATCTCTGGCTATACTGACAAGTTGAGGGGCAGGTTTGGAGAGAGTAGGCACCCAATTTAAATCATTAATTCATGCTTCTACACCACTACTGATTTCAATTTTTAGCCACTGATAGAAGACATGCATCATATCCATCCAAGTATTCCACATCCAGGATCCACTTTGAGTTTTCACAGCATGAATGAGTGAGTGGTTAGGAAAATACCTGTCTTTGAGGATTCTACTAACTAAGAGATCAGGGTTGGTAGTTATCCTCTAGACTTGCTTGCTTATGAGTGCTTGGTTGAACAACATGAGGTCAAGAAAGCCAAGCCCACCTTGTTGTTTAGGCAGAGAGAGGAGATTTCATCTCTTCTAGTGTATGCTCTTAGTCTGTTGCTGTCCAGAACTCCACCAGAATTCTGCACATAGCCTGGAAATTTCTGAATTTTAAGTTAAGGGATTTTTTAAGCATGACATTGAAAAGTTAGGTAGTTCCAGGACAACATCTTTAAGAAGCACCTCCTTGCCAGCTGGGCTCAGAAGCTTGGATTTCCAGCAGTTCAAATTACCTTTAACAGAGTTTAGGAGATAATCAAAAACCTCTTTTTTGGACTTCCCTCTGCCAAGGGGCAGTCCTAAATACCTTGTTGATCTGTGATAGGCAATTCCATTCAAAGTTGCAAATATGAATTTGAAGCTGCTGAGGAGTGTTTCTATTAAAAAAGACAACCGACTTTTGTAGGTTAACTTGCTGACCTAAAAATAATCTGTATTGCTCAAGGAGATTCAAGAGAAGTGTGGTTTTGTCTACTCCTTCCTTGCAAAAGAACAGTGAGTCGTCTGCAAAGAGTAAATGTGATAAAAGAGGACCATTTCTAGAAAGTTTCAGTCCTTAGAGATGACCTTTGGCTATGGAATCTAAAATGAGAGCTGTAAGTAGTTATGCCACAATAATAAATAGGTAAGAGGAAAGTGGATCCCCTTTCCTAATTCCACGAGAAGGAGTGACAAAACCACTTACACAGAGTAGTAATCAAGACTACACTAACACACCCACAACACAAACAAACTATACACTCCCAAGAGGGAGAATCAACTTCAACAAAAAGAATAAAACAAAACAACTAACAAGGCAACAAAAGAGAAAACACACAAACATCATACAAACACCAACTACTAGAATAAAGCCCTCCTCCGACCGTAGACAAACAGCAACACAAACGACTGCTCGACCCTAGAGATGACCCGCCGATAGGGATGGAACTCCAGCAGACGACTAGCTGGACCCTCCGCAGAATTCGAATTCTCAACTCGACCGGGCAAACCCCAGAACAGTAATTGCAGAATCTCTCCCAACCCTACCGACCCAAGCCAAACTCCGCCTAGGACCCGAATCACACCGCCTTAACTTCCAAAAAATAAAATCAGCACCGGGGGAAGTGGAGAAGAGTAGGGGAAGAGGACCACACCCAACTCTAGCCAACTCATCGAGAAGGTCGGAGCAAGCCGAACTCCCACGACCTGAAGCCTCCAAACCATCCACAAATACATAGACAACCGGCGATGCGACAAAGCTCTACCATGGGGATGGGTCGCAACTCCTATCGGGGAGAGCCGCTCGATTCAATCGGCACCGTAGTGTCGCTGAAGGCGCAGCCGACAAAAATTAGGGAATGGCGAAAGGGGACATAACTTTTTTTGACCTAGAGAGAGAACTTTTTTAATAATGATAATTAAATTTATATATAGTAACGAAATGGCCATTTAGAAGTTAAATATAAGAGCATATTCAATGCTATTGCTTTGAAGACAATAATTTTTAACACATGTCAACTAGTGATTGTAATGTTAATGCACATAGGAATAATGTTACATGACTCGAAATTTGAATCAAACTAGTATCTCCAAAGCATCAAAATAAGAAGTAACTTGTGTAGGTCGGCCAATTAAAATAATTCATTGATACAAAAATAATAAAAAATTGAACATATTAAAAAATGAATTGATGAGTCATCATGTTTAACATGGTGTTAGATATTAGAAAGTGGACTCAACACTGTCAACATTAAACGTCATCCACCTTATCATGAAAGAGTTCATGAAAAGATACAGTGGAGAATAAATTAGTAACAAACTTTCAAAAGTTGATGATATGAAAAAAAAATTATGTCAAAAGCCACATTGAAGATGCTCTAAGCATATATATCCGGAGATCCTAGCTCAAAAACAAATTGATCACATCATCATCATCATCATCATCATCATCTTCATAGTTAAACTGATGCACAGGGAGTTCCTCTTTGAATTCAAAATCAAATGTAAAAATAAATAAATCTAAAATAAGTAACCGCCATAGTACAAAATGAAGAGCTTCAAAGTGATAAAACACCACACACAAACAAACAGCTTGTAGTTCCCACCTCCTCTTCTTCATCATCATCAAAGGTTTCATAATGAAATTAATAACTATAAAATTGGCTTCGTGCTCATCATCAATTGTATTAACACGATGGGTGAGAAGAATAAAGGAAATTTGGCGTAAAAGGTTCAGAGTTATACGAAAAAAAAATAGTAATTAATTTATCTGCTCTGCAGGAAACTTCGTATCTTGCAGAGCATTCATAGATTTTAACCCTTGATTTTACACACCCAACACATGTGTGTATATGATTGTGAAAATCAAGGCTAAAAGCCATGACTAGTGTCTCTATGGCTAGGGTTGAATGTTCCCTACTCCGTGAGTCCCCATAGAAGTTTGGACCAAAAGGTTGAGTGTTAAAATTAATCAGATTACTTAGGGTTCTTGTTCCAGATCTTTTAGATTTCAGTGGTTGTTTCCTTTTCTGGTCCCTCATTGTTGTGTTTCATCACTTTTTTGCTTCTTTCTTTGTTGGGTGGTTTAGGCCATTTTCTGTTTTTAGGATGAAAGTGGTTTTAGGGTTCTGCGGGGGTCCCTCAGGTTAGGGATTTTCCTTTACTGTTTTGTGCTATTTATTTTTCTTATTTCTATTAGCTTGGTGGTTTTTCTTGTTCGTTTGTTGCTGGTTTTTGCTTTCCTTCTGTGTTTATCTTCATCATGTCTTTGGGAGTTTTCTTTTTCTCTTAGGGCCTGTTGGGAGGGAAGGGAGGGGGACAGAGGGTGTGGTGATGTGTTAGGATGGCGAATGAGCTCTCAGATCAACTCCAGAGATTTGTCCTCTCGGAGAGAGAGGAGTAGGAAGTGGAATTGTCAGAAATAGATATCGCATCAGGTCTTAGGGAGTGCTAGTTGAGCCTAATAGAGAAAATCTATAGAGAGAAGGAAATAAATTTTACAGGTCTTAAATCCACTCTTGGAGGAATTTGGTCAACAAGCAAACCCTTCTCAGTCAGAAGTCTAGGCTAGAATAGATTTCATTTCTTATTCAAGTTAGAGGAAGACAAGGAGAAGACCCACAGAGGCAAAAATTGGTCTTTTGATGGCCATTATTTGTTGCTGAAAAACTGGGAGAAAGAAAGCACTGACATTAAAACAGATGAGGAGAAATAAAAATATGGGTCCAAATTCAGAACTTGCCATTACATTGAATACCTGATAAGGATGGATTGAAAATTCGCAAGAAGTTGGGTAAGGTCCTGGATGTTCAAATCCTGAGCACAAGAAATACCAATGGTTAGATGATTAAAAGTGCTAGTGGAATTGAAACTTTAAGAGCCAATTTTGATAGGAACATACATCAAGGTGGGGCAAAGTGTTGGTCTCAGGTACGAGAACCTCGAAATCTTTTGTTTTTACTATGGTAAAATAGGGCATAATTATTGAAATTTACCTATTAAACAGGAGGACATTTTTAGAAATTTCTCAACCTTGGAAGTTTGGTGAGTGACTTAGAGTTTCAAATAGTCAGTCCTTTAATTCTAGAGGATCATCTGCTCAGAACATATGAAGTCAATTTGTGGAAAGGGATTTTAATAATTCTCTTGATCATAAGATAGGGTGTGAGGGTTCTAAAGATGCAGACGGTTCAAGAAAAATCCCATGTTTAGAAACTGAACTAAGAAAGAAAAAGATCAATAAAACAGAAGATAATGACCTAACTGAAATTCAACCTTGTTTAATTTCTAAGAAAAATATAGAGGATGTTATTCCTGTCACATAAATGACTGAGAAGCCTTCTATTGTGGTTAGTTCTTACTCTCTTGTTGAGGATTCTGTTCAAGTGATTGATATAGAAATGCAACCATCCTCTATTGGAGGAAAATTTGCTCAAAAAAAGAAAAAAATTTTCTGCAGGATAGCTAGAATTAAGGGAGGGGATAACTCTAAACAATGAATGTTAATTGAGGCTGAGGGGTTAATTAATGATTTTCAATAGAAATGCAGGTAAAAATAAGAGACCCTTAGACATTTGCCCTAGAACTTGATCCTAATAAAACTGAAACCAAAGAATAGAAAACTTTAACCATTTCCCTAAATATAGAGATGGTGAAAACTAGTCCAAACTGGTCCCACAATATCCAATGAGAGTTTGCGTGTGGAATTGTAGAGGTTTGGGGAGACCCTCTACAATTTCCCAGTTCAAAGAAGCTAAAAGAGGCCACCTCCTAGTTTTTACCTTTTTGTCTGAAAAAAAAAAGATAAAAAATAAAAAAATATTGCAACTTTGTGTAAAAATATCAGATTAGATAATAGGTGGTTTTACTCTAGTCCTGTGGGTCATAAAGGTGGAATGTCGTTGTGCTGGTCTTCATTCGTTACTATTCTAGACCTTATTTGCCTTGATTTCTATATTCAGGTGAAGTTTAGGTTTAGGGACAGTGACACTACCCAATGGGCAAAATTTGTCTATCCCAGTACTTACCCTAGGGTGAGGCAATATTAGTGGGACACCTTAGTTAGATGTATCTTAAGTT